CCTATAGAGGGAGAAGCGGTCCTTGAGATAGCTTGGAGCAAAGCCATTTAGGGCTTTATAGATTAGAACCAACACTTTTGAATTGTACCTGGAAACGGATTGGCAGTCAGTGGTGCTGCTGTAACGGGGGTAATGTGATCCCTATAAGCAGCTCCAATTAATAATCTAGCTGCAGAGTTTTCGACTGGCTGAAGTTTCTGAACACTTTCCAAAGAAGTCTGGGACAGTTTCTGGCCAAGACTTGGCATTAATAATTGTAATGATTTTGTCATTCTTGTCTAGATTTGTTCTTGTCTAAAAATGTCTAGATTTTGTCTGCATAGTGTTGAGCACATTCAAATCGAGCACAGCAGTTCATGATTATTGTGATCTGTAATCCTGAAAGATTAAAAGTTGCACACTGCTACTTCTTAGATGTCTTATCTATCCATCACAGCTCTAATTTAATAGTGTGGACATTCTTTTTCCAGAACAGAAGCCCCAGAATTGCATTTGGAATAGACAGATTTCTCAAGAGGCCTAAATTGGTGTGGCTAAAAAAAGAAAGTCTAATTGGTATATGCCAACTCCCTGCATCCCACAATAGTTCAAACTATTCACCAATTAAAGTTTTAGTATAAATTAAATAGCTGTTTGGCAGTCCTTTAATGCATTAGTTGGCCCCGTTTTACTGTCCAAAATACGCTGAACTCAAAAATGTCAAAAGTTTTGCATAAATTCTTTAGTCTGTAGGCTTCTTGTTAATCTTAGTTTGCTAAACTATTCTAATGTTTCCACAGCCGGGATCCAATGGTTGTTGTAGGTTTTTCAGGCTGTTTGGCCATGTTCTGGAGGTTTTTCTTCCTAACATTTTGCCAGTCTCTGTGGCCGGCATCTTCAGAGGACAGGAGTTAGGTTAATAATCTAGCTGCAGAGTTTTCGACCGGCTGTGGGATAGTTCAGTGACACACTACACCAGAACATAGACAGAATTCTAACTCCTGTCCTCTGAAGATGCCAGCCACAGAGACTTGCGAAACATTAGGAAGAAAAACTTCCAGAACATGGCCAAACAGTTTGAAAAACCTACAACTATTCCAATGTTCTTACAATTGGCATTCTAATCTACTATTTTTTACTGTAACAGCAATTCATTGTCCATGTGGTTCAGTCTAAACAAGTTAAATACAGCAAAACAAATATCTTAAGTAGCATTACATTCCCACAGAGTATAGTCAGGACTATTTTTAAGATGAGAGTATGTTTTCTAAGAAACTTCTTGGATGATTGCTTCTGATGTAAGCCATGTAAAAATCCTCCTCCATGATCTTTCTTTTCGCCTTGCATAAGCTTCTGAGGATTGTAACATGAAGTCAGAACAATTTAGGCCATGGTACTTCACCTGTCTGTGGCATCTGTTATCTAGTCCAAATTGGAAAAGCCACAGAATACCAGGAAGGTTGTGCTGCTGTAAAGCTGAAGGTAGAAGACTATTAAGGCCGTCTAAAGGGCTTGGAAAATCCACTTGTCGCCCCTCTGTGCCAAGTGAAAAAATGCTGCTTGACTAGCCACAGCTCCCTTTCTCCTTGCCACCTTACCCTCAGTCTGTGTGTCTCTGATCCTGCAGTCCTCCCCTCCCCTTCCCATTGCAAAGGAAAACAGCCCTCAGGAGAAGAGAGTTCGAGCAGCTCATAGAGATATAGCTCTGCAGGAGAATGTAGAGTAGTCCTATGCTGGAGAATATGGAGATTCCCTGCTCCCAATTTCAACTGAAGACCTGGCTCCTTAAGAGGCCTTGTGATTTTGCTTTCAGTTTTATTTTTGCTAGAGACATTCAAAAGAAAGGAATTCAAAATACAAGCTTCATGACCCCACAGGCACAGAGGTAATAAAACAACCCAAATCTGAGCGTATAAATCAGTGATTCCCAATCCCAATGACTTGCAAGGCTATAGTCCGGTCATGCTGACTGGTGAAATTTTTGACTGACTGGTGGGACATTCTAAAATTTTTCAAGCCCTGGCCATCTAGATTGGATACTGATTAGAGATGGTATTGTATACGAATATGAATATCCCAGTGCAGTTGGACTTAACGAGGGGCCAGCCCAGTGCAGCTGGACTTAACGAGGGGCCAGCCCCTGCGGCTGGCCTGTCCACTCATGTGTCCGGTGGCAGCGGCAACCTCGCTCATCCTTTCAATCTCTCCTGGAGCTCTCCTCTCTTCTTGCTCGGCTAGCGACTCAGCAGCCATGCAGGTTCGTATATCCTCCCTCCCACTGTCTGAAGTGACCAGGTGAGCAGAAAGAGAGTGGATCTCCCGGAGCGACTGGAAGGATGAGCAAGACTGCTGCTGGATGCATGAGTGGACAGGCTGGCCGCAGGGTCAGCCCCCTTGTTAGGTCCAGCTGCGTGGGGATATAGCCCCCTTGTTAAGTCCAGCTGCGTGGGGATATTCGTATACTGTGCCCCTATCTCTAGTACTGATCTTAAGTGTTTGTTTTGTAGCTTGGTGTGCAGTGCATAAATTCTGAGTCTGAAAAGTTTAAAGTCTGTCTTGGGCTGGACAGAAATGTTTCTGCCATGTTTGAGGGAGCGTGCATTGTGAGAGTTGTGGGATGGGTCTCAGCTGTAGTCTGTGCTATGTCGCCATTGTCTTATGCTAAGTCCAGTTATGTAGTGGTTTTATAGACAAGAGGTAGGCATAGGGAGGGGCTGTGCAGAAAGGACATTCTTGTTGGGAATGGGAAACTCCCAGGTTCCCTGGCAGATGCACAGCAGTCTACAGTGGTACCGTCTTTTGTGTATGTGTGGTGGTTGCTGGGGAGTCCAGGAAAAAAAATTAACTCTCAATAAAAGACATCTTGTTTATCCAAGGAAGTGATTGAAATATTTGGGGGCTGGGTGCTAACTGTACTATATGTAATATTCGGTAGCACTGTTTTCAAAATAATGGATACACTGGTTCAGAGGAGTTACTGAAATCAAGTAAGCATCCAGAAGACTAGTTTGTTTGAACTAATCATTTCTAGACAAGTTGTTGTTTTGACTTGAATATTGTCCCATAGTGTTAAAGCACTCTCTGGGTGGTTTACAACATAATTAAGCAAACAACACTTGCTTAATGATGCTCAGGTGAGAAGTTCATGCACTGATCTGTATCAAAATGACCTACACTTCTTGAGCATTCTTGTACCAACATGTTTAGTATAAGTACAGATGTCTGCGATTCTGCTTGCTAGGGAGGGTGCCCTTTGCCTTTGGCAGGACGGATTACCTGAAACCCTTGACATGTTTTCACTTGTGCTTCATTAGCACCCTCCCCACAAAAAAGTCATACCTGCTGCTGTTTCCTTAATGCAAATGCAGCAAGATGCAGTAGCTCTTCATACTGATCTTGCAAAGACAAAAACAAACAAAAACAAACAAACACCAAGAACAAATACAGGCAGAGCACGCACACACCCAGTTTAGAGGGAACCTTTCTCACAACTCATTTGATTTACATAGGATGTTCTTTTCAAAAATATCTGCCGTGTTGGGTTCAGCAATTGCTTCAGAAAGTTAGGTGTTTACTTACTAGAAGCTAGCTAGGGTTATGCTATAAACTTTGTAAAAGTAATTGTGTTTGGGGATGAGATGTCTCTGTAGTTGAAGGTTTCCTAATATATTTCCATGTTACTCTGCAGTTCACTGTTACGTTATGCAGGCTAATTGAAATAAGACTGTTTTGGTTTAAATCTGTTTAAATGGACACTCTGGCCAAGCCTATAAGCTCTGTTCTGCATTTTATGAAAACAGACTGTTACGGCCCGTCCTGATCTTGATTCTGGACAGAACAGAGCTTCCTGTTTCTTCTTCCACAGAACAAGTAACAATTACTAGCAAATGTGAATCTGTCTTTGTGCAGGAAAAATCTTGGCAACATATTTCTTGCTTGTTTTGTGAGTCAAACTTGCTGTGTCATACATAGCTTCATCTAATATATCCAATCCTGTTTAAAGTCTGCTGTATGAAGCTGTTCTGCATATGGAATTGCCAAGTTGTACCTCTATCAAAAGGGACATGGTGGGGTTGAGGAATAAACTGCAGAAGCCTTTGTGCTGCAAGGTCAGAAGACCAGCAGTTGTAAGATCGAATCCACGCAACGGAATGAGCTCCCGTCGCTTGCCCCAGCTCCTGCCAACCTAGCCGTTCAAAAGCATGCAAATGCAAGTAGATAAATAGGTACTACCACCGTGAGCAGGTAATGGCATTCTGTGTCTAGTCGCGCTGGCCACGTGACCACGGAAACTGTCTATGGACAAATGCTGGTTCTACAGCTTGGAGACAGGGATAAGTACCACACCCTAGAGTCGGACACGACTGGACTAAATGTCAAGGGGAACCTTTACCTTTTATCTTTACCTCTATCAAACAGCTTCACATAGCTATAGTCCTATGACTCTTACTGAAAAAAAAATATTGGTTCATTCAGTGTAATGCATCATTGAACACTAAATTGTATGGCTGGTGATTAAGAAATCATAAAAGACTATTGGACTTATAACTAAAAATGATTTCTGCTTCACTTAAAGGATATAGCAAAAGTATAGCAAGACATAGACAGAGTGCTTCCCCTCCAGAAAGTAGCAACCTGTCACTGGTTCTTGGAAAAAGAAGACATTGCTCTTAGGGGTGTCTGTCACACTTTCCAAAGGAAACAAAGGATTGTGGCATGTGGAGGTCATGGTGGGAACACTGTTTTTTGTGAAACTGTTAGCTGCATGCGTGAGAAGAGTACTTGAACAGTTTTGTGAAACAGCTGCATGCGTGAGAAGAGTACTTGAACATTATAATTTTGACATGAATGTAGATGTCATTTGGATATGCATCTGTAATATTGAGATGACAGTGTCCAAGCAGTTTCTTAATATGCTGAAATTAGAATGGTTAAATTGATGCTCTCTCAGTAGTATTCACATCATCTTTAACCTGCATCCTGAACTATAGGCCTGATAACTGCCTGTTTTGTGTCTGTAGGTCTGATCTAAGCACTATGAAAAAGGAAGTGTAACAATTCATCATGATTGGAGGCCTGTTCATTTATAATCATAAGGGAGAGGTTCTAATCTCTCGAGTCTACAGAGATGACATTGGGTAAGTTCTTGGCAATCTCTCATCCTGCTTTCATTCCACACCCAGTTCAAATTCTTGTAATTTCTAAGCTCCTGCTGCTTCAACTGTGTCTGCATGTAAAGACTGTGTGCTATTTGTTACATCCAGGCTGTGTCTGTCCTACTACATCTGTCGGTATGTATTGTCTTGGCAGCAACCGCGAGGGTGACATTGGTGAAAACAGCTCTCTTTATATCCTCTCTTGATCCTACTTACTTGCTGCCTTGATTCTAGTATGCCACGAAAATATCATCAGATGTTGTTAGAGTGACCTGTATCTACAATTGTAGCATGAAAAGATGAAGGAGAGCAGTAATGTTGCAGCTCAAATCTAGGAGGCATCAGCAGTTGTGGTACAAATCTGGTCATTTTAAATCTCTCTACAGTAGTTGCAGTCCTGTCAACTTGGGGCATGCTTTTAATGCAGCATCTGCATTAAATTCTGATTTTGGAGCACTACATGCTGAAATAGAGAATAGTCATAATCTCTTTAGCCTGAGATGCTAACTGATGCATGCATCCATAGAATCATAGAAGTGGTTCAAGTGGGTAATGTTGTAAGTAATCAGTCATTGCTTTAGGGTAGTGGCCTGCACTCATTTTTGCTAGCTGAGGCTGCTGTGCCTTCTCTGTTGCTGTATGAATGCCCCAGTCTTGGTCTGCATTAGTAGTAGGGGCAGAGCTACCCAAAGATGTGATGCAGACTCTGTGTTAAGCATAGGAGTACTGTGGCAGCTATGTGCTTAATTGCAGGAGCAGATGTTGACGTGGTGTGTGTGGAATAATGGATGTGTTACCAAAAAATTGGGCAGCTGTTAAAATTGCAAAGCTAACCTAGATAATCCTTAATAGATGACTATCCAGTTCTTCTGTCAAAGTATATGACTAACCCTTTGTTTTGTCTACCTTTTTTAAAAAATCCAATGTCCAAGGGAGGAAAGAGTTGCTTAAGAGTGAAATCTTGTCTGTACCAAACTGCAGTTTTTCACTTATTGAGCATATATTCTAATTAACAGGCTAACCCATGCATAGTCCTTAACACATTTGATTCTTTCCTTTGTGGTTGGTGTCTAATCTTTTTTGCTGTGAGTTAGGAAAGATGGTTCTTGAATCTTTAGTTGATTGTATGGACTCATAAAAGTTACTGTCATGGAGTTCTGTTATGATACAATCTTTAGCTTTTAAACATCCATAGCAAATTGTCCTTAAAATGGACACTTTTTAGAATTGTCTTGCCCTGCTTTCTGTATAGGTACCCAAGAATAATTTGCTGTTCAGTCTTTTTCTAACACCTTTGTGTGAGTTTTCTTCCGCCAGAAGCCACTGGCAATGGTGCGGCCTACACCTTTGTGTGAGTTTTCTTCCACTAATTATGATTAATATTGTTTGAAATCCACCTGCACAGTGGGAACTGATTGCCATTGATTGATTAAAGGCTTCCTTTTGTGATTTTGGGGTGTGCATGACAAAGTTGCAGGCATCCTTGAAATCACAGAAGTTGCCTTGAATCCACAGGCAGAACCCATCCAACAGGATTGTGGCCTTTGAATCCATAAATTGTGTGCTTTCGTTTCAGTGTTGCTTCATTCCACTGATTTTAGGAGGACGGTAATGCATGCACTGTGGGGGCATATTAGAGAGGAGGGTCCTGTTCATCAGTTATTACAGACAGTGGGCTGCACCTCAGTTGGAGAAAATATTATCTCAGATTCCACTTGCTAAGTTTGAGGTACTACCAAGTTTGCAGGCAGACTGTAGCCCTAGAGTAGAGCTCTGGTAATAAAGTGAGAATTACCGTGTAGATATAGTAGTTAATAGTTAACATACGAAGCAAAAGGAAGTATTCCACCTAGTAGAGGAAAAGAGAGTGCAGAAATCCTGCAATTATATAAATATATTCAACATAGTAGTAAAATGGAGGTTTTGCTGCTTGCAGTTGAACCTTTGCTTTGCCCTTAGCTGTGTCACAATTAACTTATGAGACATGCTCAGCTATAGCAGTTAGTCTCTGCAATACCACTCTTCTTGCTGGTACAGGACAAGGGTATACTGTATGAATCAGGCCTGATTTAGTTTTGAGTTCTTTAAGCTCACTTTATGTCTGACGATTTGACAACTGAAAATGAAGTGTGGCTTTGTTAAAGTAGCCAATGATGGCCCTTGAACCTTTTAAGTGGTTAATTGAGGTCTTGGGGCTAAATATAGTTGTTGGTACCCATTAGAAGAGATCCTTTAAATTAGTGGTACAGTTTTTGACTTGCCAAAATCCACATTTTCAATGGTCTGCTTTGGTTGGAACTAGAAGTTAAGTTTAATGCTTAATGTTTTCCTCGGATTTGTAAATGACAATTTCCTGATGCCTGTTGGAAGTTAATCTCAAAGTTAGCAGAAATGGATTCCTGTATGGGCCTTGTTTAGGCACAGTGAACTGGTACAGGGGTATGTAGGTTTGAAGAGTCTGCACATTTTGAGAAACTTGTAAGGCGAGTCCCAGTTATTATGAAGCCAGTGAGATATTTTCATTTATGTGCCAGGAAGCTGAAAGAGTTTTTCTCAAAGCCAATTTCTTTTGGGTGACATTATACTTCATTGTATGGATGAAACTTGTAATGTGATGGGAATTGTGTCCACAGAAAAGAATGTGAGATTATGCAACATGTCTTGGTGCCTAGGTATGCACCAGCTGTGGCTGATACGGGCTGAGAATGGTTCACAGCTAGAAATTCTGGAGTTTGATGGATGTTATTCTTCCTGCCAGTTGCACGCCTAGCTGCCTGCATGAGCTTAAAGTTTCCACACAGCTGTTCTGTGCTTCCATCTTTCACTCAGGAACATATCAGTTCTTTTCTCAAAGGTGCCTTGGGGAACTAGAATGAGAAAATGACCTTAGTTCTGAGCTGTCTTGAGATGTGTTACTATTTTTAAAAGCACGTGGCTACAGAGCCATTTAGAAACTGATAGTAGTGGCCAGCTTCCAATGGAGCCATCAGATGACTTTGACAGAGCAGCATTTCTCTCTGAAAAACGTGAAAATAAACTTAGATAATAAATTTCATTAACTACATAATTTCAAACTATTCAGTGGGCTTCAAAATACATAGTGAGTCTGTTAAATTCACTTAAATATTAGTATTGTGGATTTTGTCAGAGTTGAGTAATATCTTGTATGATGTATGCTATGTACCTCCACATAAACAGTGGTAATGCTTCAAAACCTGTGAGGAAAGTGGGGTGTATGCATAGATCCTGTGACATGGTCATGTATCAATTCATGACTAGTACAGCCAATTCAAGATGAGCCATGGCAGGCATGCCACAGTTTCCATCCAAACTGTGAGTTATTAAAGTGATGGGAGTTGGTGGTTGTTCACAAGACCTTGTTATGAAACATCAGGATTGTCAATATGCTCCTATTGTTAAAGCAAAAAATAAAAAATAAATAAAAATAAATAAAAAACCAAGCTTCTGGCTCAGGTTGGGCAAAAGATAGTGAGGACTCACATGAATACTAACTTGCCTGATGCTTGTGTGGTTCTTCTGTTAGCTGTCTTGAGTACACGCAAGTAACAACATAATCTTTATGTATTTCCATTGAAGTATTATTTTGTAAGTCTAAATAAAGATGAGGCTGTTGAGGTCCACAGAAGTAAAACAAAATCCATGCTACAAATTCTACAAGTGATCAGTGTCTTTCTTAGGATCAGCTGCAAATGTAAGTTACCAAGCCAGATAGTAAAAAATAGTGGAGGAGAGGAAAAGCATAAAGTTTCAAGTAATTAAGTAGGCATTTTAAGCCATGGAGAGCTGCAAGCAAAGTCCCAGGTTGGAAAATACAGTATGGCTTGATGGGACAGAGAATCATTTAGCTATTTCATGACTTGTTCTGACAAAGCGTGTGTTTAGTCGTTTAGTCGTTCAGCTATTTCATGACTTGTTCTGACAAAGCATTCTGGGGGAAAGGGAGATTTCCCTTCTCTTCAGGGACAAAGATAGCAACCCACATCATCTGTGAGAGGGAAATACAGATTCCTCTGAAAGCTTTTGTAAAAGTGTCGAGAAACCACAATTGTGTTATAGCTGAGATGAGCAACATTTGCAGCACCCAGCAGCCAAAATATAATGCCCCCAGAGTCCCCAAAACTCCACACACCAAAGTAAAAATGTTTGTTAAATCTCTTGTGCCCTTTAGGAAACATTGGGGAAAACTCATGTTTTTAGGGTTGCAAACACCCCTAACCCTGATTATTATTCTTTAAAATCGACCTCTACAGGGTGCAGGGAGCTTTTTCAGTAAAAAAGTTTGAGTCTGGCAAGAGTAACTGGAGTGTGTGTGCTCCTTTAAGCCTCATGGGGCAATGGATAAACTGCAGTATTGCAGTCAAAACTCTGCTAACAACCTGTGTTCGATCCCAATGGGTTCAGGTAGCCTGCTCAGGATTGACTCGGCCTTCCCACTTTCTGAGGTCGGTTTAATTGAGTACCCAGTTCGCTGGGGTGGTTGTGTGTGTGTGCAGTGTGTAGCCTGTATAATTAAATGATAAACCGCCCAGAGAGTGCTTTAAGCGCTATGGGGTGTTATATAAATAGCACACTTTTAAAAGTCTAGAAATGAGCATATGTAGTACAGACAGTCTCTCTTTTGCACAGCAGGTTTGGAGGCTAAATTTTAGTTGTAGGGTTAGGCAAAAAGGGTCAATTAGGACTGAATGGAGAGATTCTTATCTAGCTGTTAAACCTGTTTTTCTTTGTGGTTCTCAAAACTTCAGGTACCCTTGATGGAGCACTGGTGAAACTTAAACAATAGCAGTGCTGCAAGGTGACATGGTTATTTTTCTTTAGTTTTACAAGCAGATGCAGGTTGGCAATTTGATTCCCTTCTGTACCTGCTAGAGAAAGAACCAGCCTATGTAGCTATGAGCCAACTGCATAGTCCAGACCTGACTTGACAGTGTGCAGTTATTATAGGGAAACCAAATCAGCCTCTACTGGTATCAGGGACTTAAAACAATCTCTCTGTGCTAGCCATGTCTTATCTTCTCCAGAAGGAAAACACCGACTTGTTCTATTTGTCACAACTTCTGTTACTAGTGAAATGCTGTTCTGAATTGTATGTTCTCAGTAGCAGACTCATTACCAGAATCATTCAGCTCTTAACTAACAGAGACAGATAGTGTTACTGCACGTGCAAGACTTGGCAAAATAGCTTTAAATGTATCAGTGGGGCATATGGCTGCATGTTGGCTTGATTTTTACTTCTCTCCATAAAAGGCATAATGCAGAAAAGACCATTATATTTTAAGCTGCTACAAAGATAGATGGACTAACGTATCATCGCGCTACTACCACATTAGATTTCTGGAATAAGCAAGCAATTGTTGTTTTGAGAATTTGTCCATATTCAGTATGTTTCAAGTACCTTGTCCAAAGCATAACAAGTACTAGTGTGTTTTTTGTTTCTAGCGATTATCTCCATAAGATCATGCTAGGAAAGTATGTTTTAAAGTTACAATTCAGTGCGTTGACCAGGCCAGCCCAACCTTTTCAGGAGCATTGAATCAAGGTCACTTTATTTTAGGGTCAGGGATTCTTGTAAAGTGTGCATGCACTATTTGCAACTTTGAATAGGGAGCTGCTGTACAACTACATCTAGTCTGCATCTAGTAAGTTGGCTTAACTACTGAAAGTGTCAGTCGGGTTTCCCATCATTTGCACTTCTGTAGTTAAAGGTCCTGATTAAATTTCAAAGGAAGTGCTGATTTGGAGCTTTAGTTGCGACTCCCCCCCCAAAAAGTGTTTGCTCCCTGTTACAGTAAGAGGATTTAGTTATAATGTAGCTGTAATTTTTTTAAAATGAAGTAATGTTTAATCTTCATTGAAAATTTTGTTGATGTAAGTTTAGAACCCTTCAATCTTGTGGGCAGGAAAACAAGGTGGGACTTGTTTTGTTAGAGAGCAGTTCTACTATGTGACCTCATTTAACTGAGCTTGCCAAATGCAGTTCATTGCTTGTCCAAGTACAATTAGCACAGTTACTTTGATTAGTAGTTCTGCGCCCTGGGGGATTTTTCAAAGCTTTCTAATAAAAGTTGTTTATTGTCCAAATGAAGCCATAGATCTGTCTCCTAAATAAAGCTGTAAGCAGGATTCCTAAATGAAGTCATCAGCTGAATGTATAAAATCCTTGTTGCTTTTGCTTCTTAGCACATTAAAGGTTTCACAGTGTTCACATTTCTGTAGCTGAGCTCCAGAAATAGCTAAAGAACGAACACTTTTTCTTTTTAGTAGGCGTCTTGTCTGATGTTTAGCTGAAGGTGAATCTAAGCTTTGGCTCTTGACACTACAGGTGAGAGATGAGAGATAAATTGTGATTGCCCCATGACCACGTAGTTTGGCTACTCAATTAATGCTGTTATATCCAATATCGTTACCTCTTCTCTGAAAGCTATACTGCCACTGACTAGGGATTTTTCTAGTGGGACGGGGTTGCTGTCTGTCGTCTCTCTTTTTTTAAGTTTGGATTCATTGTGCTTTCTGTGTATGTGTGTTTTCTAACCTTTCTCTTGTTGCTGTCACTCCTCCTTTTCTTCGCTGGCGCCATTTCTGTTCATCCCATCTCATTGGCTGCTGTAGCAATAGGTAAGAGATGAATGGCAGGACATAACGGGCACCACAGCATGGGGGAACTGGTATATTAAGATATTATCATGCGGCTGAAGTATTGCAGTACCAAATAAAAACCGTCTCCTAAGAGTGATACAAACTATTAGCCCATGCCACAAACCAACTCATTACCTTTCCAGTTTAACAAATTGAAATATACTCATTTTAATGGATTGTACAGCCCATTGTCTGTTATTTATGGAATTGGTGTATTGAAAAGCCTTAAAAACCTGGGGCTCTTAGTTATTCTCCAGACTGTTGTAATGTAGTCAGATATAACATGATACATCATGGAATCATTATATAGCAACATTATCTAAATACAAAATACATGCATTATAAGAGGCTCTCCAGTGCTGTTGCAAGAAAACTTTGAGTAGCACTCTGTACAGGGTGTGTAAGTGTGAAAGATACTGCAGTATGCATTAAAATGGTAAATAGAACAAACTTTCTCTATTCAGAAAGGTTCTTAGAGCCTAGTGGTTAGATATGCTAGATTTTCTTATTTTTCATCCATTGACTTACTTAGATGAACTCTCTATTGACATTCCCCCCTGCTTTAAGTTATTCCTAGAAAAAAGATTCCCCGACCTTCTGTGTGCTTTATTCCACTGTTGCACTTGATTTCTTTTCCTAGCCTAGAATTTTATAGAGAACAGTGCTTCTTACCTTGTGGTACTTTATGGCATGTGTTGCTAGTACCATCAATTGAAAAATGCTGGTTTAGAACACTAGTTCTTAACCTTTGTTACTCAGACGTTTTTGGACTGCAACTCCCAGGAGCCTTCACCATCAGCTGTGCTGGCTGGGGTTTCTGGGAGTTGCAGTTCAAAAACACCCGAGTAACAAAGGTTAAGAACCACTGATTTAGAGCACGAGTAAAACAATGTGTCTGATTGGTTCAGTATCCTTTGTTCCCTGTATGTGTGACCAGACTAAATCCTGAAGAAGTAAATATTCTCCTTTCAAAGGAATAGATCTTTATGCCTGTTCCTGTCAACTAGACTTTGGTTTCTTCTGCAGAGATACAGCTAAACAACCTAGTATGGTGATATGTACCCAACTGTGTCTAGACCCTTTATCATCTTCTAAGTCTTGTTATCCTACAATATTCCAACATTACAGGCGGAATGCAGTGGATGCCTTCCGGGTCAATGTCATCCATGCACGGCAACAAGTGCGCTCACCTGTCACCAACATTGCCCGAACAAGTTTCTTCCATGTCAAGCGTTCCAACATCTGGCTGGCTGCTGTCACCAAGCAAAATGTTAATGCTGCTATGGTGTTTGAGTTCCTCTACAAGATGTGCGATGTGATGACTGCCTACTTTGGAAAGATCAGCGAAGAGAACATCAAGAACAACTTTGTGCTCATCTATGAGCTTCTGGATGGTGAGGATGTGCCATTCTGACTAAATTCCAGGAACTTGTTTCATGTAGGGTGGCTAGGCAGATGTTAAAAACCTTGTGGTTGCCTATGTGGGGTAGAGCTTGTTTTAGCCTAATAGATCCAGTCTGTACTGTTGGTGTAGCCTCTAGCCCTCAGTGCCCCTAAGCCCCCCCACTTGCTTTCAGTCACTTCTGGTTTTGAAATAAGGCCTTGTCTAAATAATGTATGATGGTATATGTTTGTAAAAGTAGCTTGAAATAGGAAATCTAGATTGGCCATTCCAAGCCAGACATTGATGATGTTCTTTTACATGGGGGTTGGGCTGGCCATCTGAAATCCCAGGAGCGAGGGCTGGACATGTACATTTTGCCTTCCATTGGCTCCAGGTGCTTAGCTTTACACATGCTTTCTGTTTCACTACTAAAAGTAAATAAGCCATTACCGCTGTCAAAATGAAGAGCTGGAGGTAGCTAAAGAAGAGCACTGTGACTTCTCTGCAGGTTCTTTGTTATGTACTTCATGCTGAGATTTGTACAAAATTGAGATGTGGATGTCCCATTGACTTCCTTCCAGTGAATGGGACTGGATGGTTATCCTAGCTTCTGGGCCGCATTTCAAAACAGTATAAGTTGCTTCATCTGTAGAAGTAAAATGCAGACTGAGGAGCAAACGTTCCTTTTATGTTGTGTCTGCATGTCATAAATAGCTCCATCACTGAATTCTGTTTCCCAGACAGAAGCAGTCAAAACTGTAAATGTGTATCATTTTGTGGAATTTTGTGGAATTTATTGTTGCACTTTAAGACACGGTATTTTGAACTTGGAAGGTTATGATATCCCTTGATTGCATTTAGAGATTGCCTGTTACCTCCTTGTTTTATTTGCTGCTTTGGACATGCCTTCTTGCAACCCACGTCATTAATTCAGCAGAGAACAATTTCTTACACAATTTGGGAATGACCGCCTATGAAGGCATGCTCTCAAAGTAAACCTTTGTCAGCAAAATGCGCTTCCAGTTCTGATGTAGAAAATGACTCCAATACAGTAAAGAATCTCAGAATCCCTGCTCTAACATGCTGATGAAAGTATTCAGTTCAAACCTACTCGTTAGTCATTTTACTGGTCTAATAGTTTAGTAGCTTTTACAGCATTGTAAAAAGTCTATTCAAGTTCTTTATTTCAGTCCTTTTGTGATCCGACGTCCTCAAACATGGTAGTGATTGTTGCTTACCAACATATATTGTT